AATGGAAACATGCTCATCCTCACGGGAACCACTGGACTTAACTAAATGAGCCTCACCCTCATTCAACTCCATCTGACCAATATCAGGAGGCTCTGTTCCATGCAACACCCCATTAGCACCCCGAAAATCAGCAGGCAAAGAGGCAGCATCCACATTAAACGAGAACAAGCCCTGAACATCATCTTGCACATCAGAGCCTCGAACTTGCATACCTACCGCTCCAACATTCAAATTACTACGAGTATGCCCACCCCTAGCCTTCCCAGTGCTGATAGACCCAACACTAGGCTTCAAACCCAAAGTACTGTTCTTCTCCAACTTAGCATTAGTAATGTCTTTCAAAGGTTTTTTGAAAACCCACACCTTAGAATCCTTAGAAAGACCAATTCTCTTCCCAACCTCATTTCTGTTACTCCCAGTAGACTTAGCAGAACCATTAGCAGGGGTAGCCACTTGCTTAATAGGCTTACTAACCTCATACTTAAAAGGATTCACAACCTGCTCATCTGCAGCCTCTTGAGTAACATCATTATCCAAAACAGTGAACCTTGAACCAGAATAGGCATTCTTAAAACCTCCCTCAATTTGAGATGAAGCCTTAGTAGAATTAACACTAACAGATCCTTGTTCCTTATGAAACTTCTTCTTAAAATTCTTCTGCTGCAACAACATCCACTGACCATGAAGCTTCGTAGAACTCCCCTCACCAACCTTCTCAGGACTAAAAGCATCCATATCATCCTCCTTAGCAGGAGTGTTAACCTCCATATCCTTAGCATTTTCAGTTTCAGCAGCCTGAGCCTTGGCTTTCAAAATAACAGGACAATTATCCCTACCATGCCCATAGCAGCCACAATCAAAGCAAACCAACTTAATCCCTTCATACACAACACCATAGGATCGACCTTCAACTTCAATGAAAGGAACAAGAGGCTTTGACAAATCAAGTTCAACACAAATTCGTGCAAATTTACCTCTCGCTTGGCTCATAGTGAGAGCATCAACCTTGACAGTATGACCAATCAGATTGCCAATTTTTCCCATAACATCCGGTCGAAAATACTCAACATTGAGACCATTGATTCTGACCCAAGCCGTCATGTGTGTAACACGCTCCTCCTTTGGATTAAACCCAGGCTTCCATTGTTGTGTTACAAGATACTGACCAGCAATTTGCCAAGGGCCACCAGTAAGCACATATTGCATATCTTCCTCAAGCAAAAACTTAACAATGAAGTAATTGTTTTCCAAATCAATCAAACTCATCGGACCCTTCAGAGCCCAGCGCTGAAGAAGCCGAGCACGAAAAAAATTATAAGTCAATGGACGACCCATAAGCTTGATGATTATAGAGGTTCTCCAAGGGCGATACAAACAATCCTTAATTGATTCAGAGAATTTAATGGACGGAATATCCCCATTCACCACCACACAATCACCATCCCCAATACTCAGATTATCATCAGCCATGCCAGAGAGACCAGAAACCTTGTCTTTAAAACTCATCAGCAGAGGAGGCACAGGAAGGGAAGAATCCTCACCATCGCTGCCTCCAACATCACACATCTCATGGGTACGAGCTCGTTTCTCACCAATACACACTCCATCTTTACCAGATCCACTAGATCCAGCAGAAAAAATGAAATTCGGCATCGGAGCCGCCACCGCGAACGGTGGTACCAACCACGGTTTCTATAGCAAGAGGTTTTCTTTTTTCGCAGCCAAGCCTCCTTTTTTTGTTTGTTGTTATTTTAAATTTTTTTAGCTTAATTGTTTTTTTCAGTTCAGATACAGTAGGAAACATTTTGGACCACACAATTAACCTAGTTTTATAAAATATTCTATTTCCTTCCATGGATTAAATTCAATCCAGTGGGATCTTTCATTCACATTTTTTTCCCCTCAACAACGATCCATGTGGCATTTCTAACTTTATAATAAAATAGGTTCCAGATTTGAGATACTTTTTCTGTTTAAGTAATGTTGAAGTGCATCAGGGTTTCTTTTTTTTTGGATGCTAACTATTTGAACATCCTTTTTGCTGAATACATCTGTTGATTTTTTTCTCTGTTATCAACTGGATTATTCCAAAAGTTAAATTGGTTTCTCATATGAACCTCTAGTGTCTGAGACAACGCACTGTCCATTGCATCAGATGATGATTGTATGGTTCTTGGTTTCAGGGAACGTATCAGAATCATCGTGCAATCAAGGGCGCACAGGGTATCAAAATCACAGCACCGGTAATTCTTGTTTGAAGTCAAGGCCAATCCACTTCTACTTATTTATAAGGTATTTGTCAGTAGACCCCTGTTGCGTGAGATTTACTTGATGTTTCATTTTTTATGCAGGGTCTTGAGCATGCTATTGCTGGCCCTGCTCTATATGTGGTAGGGCCTCATGATGATTTGGAAGAAGTCAAGGAAACAGCTATGGGAGACATGAAGTCAGTCTTGAGCAGGATTGACAAGAGTGGTGAGGGAGTTGGCATACAAGCATCTACTCTAGGCTCCTTGGAAGCATTGCTAGAGTTTCTGAAGACCCCAGAAGTTAATATTCCTGTTAGCGGTATTAGTATAGGCACTGTATATAAAAAGGATGTCATGAAGGCCAGTGTAATGCTTGAAAGGAAGAAAGAGTTCGCCACCATTTTGGCATTTGATGTCAAAGTGACACCAGAGGCCTGGAAACTTGCAGATGATTTGGGTGTGAAGATTTTTATGGCTGACATCATCTATCACTTATTCGATCAATTTAAGGGCTATATCAACAATCTCAAGGAGGAAAAGAAGAAGGAATCTGCTGATGAAGCTGTCTTTCCTTCTGTGGTCAAGATTTTACCAAACTCTGTTTTCAAGAAGAAGGATCCAATTCTCTTGGGGGTTGATGTTCTTGAAGGCATTTTAAAGGTACTACTATATACACTGGATTTGTTTTACTTCCACACGCCCTGCTCCTCTTAAAAAGTAAAAAAACGTTTAACGAGAACCCAAGCCACTTGGTTTTTGAAAGCCTTCAGAAGCTCCTGCATCACTTTGGATAAACTAGTGGAGTTTCTCAAGAAGATTTATGGACTTCCATGATTTATTTTAGAAACTGGGGTCTAGATAATGCTCAGGGGGCTTCACAGGAGTTTTCTGAAAGGGTTATATTATAAGATTAACGAAATGTTTGTCAATTATATCCAGCTATCTTTATATTTTATGCACTTTGTGCAGGTTGGAACTCCAATTTGTGTTCCTCAAAGAGATTTTAATTAGGAGTCCCATAATGAGAATCTTGGTACTCGGAAACTTTGCATTCCATGTCCATGGCTCATTGATTGGGCTGCAGCTCACTTGAATGGGAAACTCTTGTCTACTTTGTTATTCTAGATCAAATCCAATTGGGATCTCCCCGATGGAGTATACTGGACTTCCTCGAGCTAGTTCTTTGGTGCATTTTTGGCCTTCGTTTTTATGATTCTTTATTGGTTTTAGCATTTTGCCAAAGTGTTAGTTGCTAGCTGATTGTGTGCTGCAATCTTTTAGGTCTGGATTGGCTTGTTGCTGTGGTTGTGATCCTGTATATTGTTTGTTTTTGTGTTGTGTTTTTCCTGTCCTATGTTGATATTGAAGTCCACTTGAACTTTTGTTGTATTATTTGGGCTTTGCTCTGCTCTCCATTTGGTCAATTTATTCTTTTCTTAACCAAAAAGAAAAAACCGTTGCACTTAATTGTAGTGTGCTTTTTCAAGTCTTTTTGTGTGTGTTCATGCAGATAGTTGGGACGAATCCTGATGAGCAGCAAAAGATGTATGGTATTGAAGATGAACTTGTCAGCCATATCTCAAGGAGGTCGATTGATGCACTGAAGGCGAATTACCCAGTAAGTTTGAATTTTTTTACAGTTAAGTCTTGGACAATGTACAACTCAACCATAGCTCTTAATTGTAATTTTAAATATTCAGGATGAACTCTCAAATGACGAGTGGAAGCTGGTTGTAAAATTGAAGAAACTTTTCGAGATACTGTGAGAGAAGCGGCAACCAGAAAGAATCCAAGGTCACCTTGTGGAAAGATTTTGATCCTTAAGCTTTACTGCACCATTCCAATTAGATGTAGGCACTCAAGTTCAGATGTGATCATGTATGGAAAGGGAGAGAAGGTTCCATTTTGTGTTTGCATGAGGAAGTCCTTTTACCGAAGTTACAAACAGACCTCTGATTTTTTATCCTGTTAGGCTAATTTCAATTTTTTTTCCATGTGGTTTTCTTTTTAAACTGCAATATTGTTGATCAAAGTGTGCAATTCTGTTAGTATTGTTGATAGAAAATGTATCTTGCTTTTTTGCTATGCCCTCTCTGTGCCTTGGTATTTGTTTCTCTTTCTAGAATGTGCAAGTTCTTGTTACCCGTCAGTGGATTTGTGATTCAATGCTTTGGGTTTTCAACTCTTCCCAAATTTGAAGTTTGTTTCAATTCCTCAGTTTCTATCTACTATATACTGTTTGGGTTAACTATGTACAACTCCCAAACTAGTGTTCGATTTTTAAATTTAAATTCATACATTGATTATGGATGATTTACGAATAAGTAAACCCTACACCTTACATTATATGTTATTTATCATTAATTTTCTTTAGTTAAAATCCACGTACACATAAAAAGGGAATTCACTTGTATCATGTTGGCCGTTGACACCTCCCGAATGTGTTATTTCACTCTTTTCGAACACTTTTGTTTTCATTTTCTTGTTTGTTAATGTGTATATGAAATCTTGTTATTTGTATTTTATTGTTTGTTTGTGTATATGTGATGCATAAGTGGTATACATATAATGTGTAAGTAGAAGTACCGTGATAACCACTTTAATTTTTTCTCTCAAACCCTCAGTCTTTCAACGCAACAAGGGGGGAGGTGGTCACTACCCCTCCTTCCCTACCCCGAATACCCCTTTCAATTTCCAATTTCCATCTTCCATCTTCCTCTTCATTCCATCTCTGTTATTGTCCATCTTCCTCTTCACTCCATCTCTATTATCTTCCTTTTTATTTATTTATTTATTTTAATAATTTAAATTTCCCAGCTCCCTTTAAATTCTTCCCTCCTTATATGGCTATTGGATCTATCAACCCCCTTGGGCTGTAGCGACTAAACCCAAACATGATTTTTCGTGTCCCCTTCAAAAGATGTGTAGAGCTCTTGCTCGGGTGCTTGCACCACCTCCTTCCATTCTTGGGTTGTTACCACCTCCTTCTTTGCTTAGGATGTTGGTTTCTTTGGCTTGGGGAAGTGTTATCCTAGGTTTGCTCTTGGATTGGATGTTGCTTCGCTCTTGGTGGTTTCGTTTTTGTAGGAGTGATTGAGTCTTTGATTATTAGTTTATGTATTGCCAGGGATTTTCAAATTTTTAGTTTTTGTATTTGTTTTGTGTGTTCGCAATTCTTTCACTCATCATTAGTGCTAGTGGCGATGTCTCGGTCTTCATGGAAGCAGCGGCAACGGTACTTTGGCGTTTGGTGGTGTTTTTGCTTTTGATTGGCTCTGGCTTTATCCCAGTTTTGTACTCTGACTTTATATTAGTTGTGGGCTATGGGTTTATGCATTTTTTAGTTTTATTTCTAGTGGGCTTTTACTGTTGCATTTGTTTGGACTCATTTTTATGAGTTTCACTATCTTGTAATTGGCATTGCCTTTCTATCAATGAAACTAGATTCCAACCATAAAAAATAAAAAATTGTCGGGAGGGAAACAACAATATATATGTATTTTTAATAGCTTAGGTTATTTGTAGTTAGCATCTTTTTTACTTTATGTTTTCAATTTTTATCACAAATCTTTATGTTTTCAAAGGCCCAAATCCTAATTTTGACAATTTATTTTTAAAAATCATCAATAAATTTCAAGGCCCAAAAGGCCCAAAATCCTAAAATTTCTTCTTTTCTCTCATCTCCTTCAGATCCCAAAACCGCACCCATTCTCGTGATCTCTCTGTTATCTGAATTGCAACCTTCCCCTTTCTTTTTCAAGCTTCTGTTATCGAATTGCATCACTGCGTTTAAATCTGTCCCTCTAGGGCAGGAAGATGAACTACCTATTGACGACGCTGACGAAGAAGCAAGAGGTGGATTCTCTCATCAGATCCACCATCGACAAAGTCCTCGTCCTCCGCTTCGGCCGAGCTTCCGATTCCGTCTGCCTCCTCCTCGACGACGTCCTCGCCAAAACGGCGCGAGAGGTCTCAAGGTTCGCAGCAGTTGCGCTCGTGGATATCGATTCGGAGGACATTCAAGTCTACGCCAAATACTTCGACATCACTCTGATTCCATCGACGGTGTTCTTCTTCAATGCCCACCACATGAAGATGGACTCGGGAACAGCGGATCACACCAAATGGGTCGGTGCGTTTCAGCGAAAACAGGACTTCATTGATGTCGTGGAGGCGATTTTTAGAGGAGCTATGAAAGGGAAGCTGATCGTGAGCTGCCCGTTGCCGCCGGAACGAATACCCAAATATCAGTTGCTGTACAAAGATGTGTAGGAGTTGCACAACTCAGGAGTTTTGATCAGGTTCTTGTTTTCTGCAGTTTTTTGTTCATATTGATACGTATTTGACAAAGATTGCCAATAGAAAAATAAATAAATAAATCTTTTTGCCTGTGATCTTTTGGTTGGATGTCAATCTTGGTGATTATGCTTTTCTTCCCAATAGAAAAAGATTAGAGGAGCAATCATGATAACGTTAGCCGTTTGGTCTGTGAGTCAGTTTAGTTAATTTTCAAGAGATGTAATTTGTTGAGAATTTATCTGAGAACAAAAGCTTCGTCCATACACACAAAACAGGGAGACATAACTCTTGTATCATTAGATAGAAATATTTGACAAAAGAGGTTTTGCAGAAATCTTGATTACATCTAAGCAATCACCTAACAAAAAAATTTATTTAAAAAAAAACAATTGAATTATAACTAGAAGAAAAATAATAGACAAAATGTCAAATTATGTAATAATAGCATGTATGTAATGTAAGGGGATCTCTAACTCTCTCACTCGAATGCCCACCGGTTCTCCTCACGAATCTTCTTTTCTTCCTCAGGTGTGAAGTCGTTCTTGATGTTGAACGTCTCACGGATCTCTTCAGGTGTCTTTCCCTTGATCATCTCCGCCACAGTTTGGGCGGTCAAATCCAGCAGGCTCTTGATGTTGAGATAATTTGCAGTCATGATTAGGTGAAACAGAGTGACCTGGTCCAGCTTCACGAACTCAGCGTCCCATTCCTTCAAAATGTCCTTTTTGTTCTCGCCATCGGCGGCCTCTTCTTTGTGCTTTCTGCAGTACTCGATCACCTTCGCTAGGATGTTGCTGGTCACGTTTGGCAGAGGTATCGCGCCATCAGCACAATCGTCCTCCATCATGTGCCTGATGGTCTGCGACTGCATGGCCACAGCCTCCTCCACCTCGAAGATCTCACCGTCGTCACTCTTCAGGGTTATCTTCTTCATCTCAACGGAGGCCATTGTTTTGGTCTTTGTAATATTAACCAAGACTTTGAGTTGAGAACTTGGAAGAGTTTTTCTTTTCTGGCTATGGAAGTTCAAGGGTTGAGTGATTTGAGTTGCAAAGGTTAACAGACTTTGGGGTGATTTTATAGCCTACTCGTAACACCTTGTGCTTTTAGGAGTAAGAGATTAATATTTTCTTTTTCTTTTTTCTTGTATTAGGAAACATGTTCTCATACTAGGAAAAAGGAAAGTTGGCTGATGGCCCCTGTAACAAATAGGAATAATTGTTTTTTTTGGGTCTGACCTGTAACAGATAGGAAAGGGAAAGTTCTTAAAAACTTTTTCCTGTAACAAATTGGAAAGGGAAAGGTTTTTTTCTTTCCTCTGTATCTTTTGACCCTTATAGCCACAATTCAGAAAAATATGCACAACTCCTGATTGCTTTCCTCAATTGAACTAACTTTTTAATTCATCAATTGGGGCGACTTTAAATTCATAAGAGAACAAAATCACACTCTAAATACTCGGCTCCTTTTCCCCAACTTCAAATTCCATCTGCTTTTATCCGACCAAAAAAAATATATATATATATTACGTCTGCTTTTCCAAAGACGAATTTTCTTAGCAACCAAATACCCAAATTTTGTTTTGGTATGTTTTTGGTTTAGAAATTTGTATTTCCCTCTCTTGGTACTCTTAAAAAGGAAAACTCGGATGCTAGAAAGCATGTAAAAATAAGAGAGTTTCACTATTATAACTAATATAGGGGTCCACATTATAACCTTACATGAAATGGACTTTAGAAACCCACACAAAGCTCATTTACAACATAACAAAGAGGTTTAGAACTTCCTATAAATTACAAAACTACAATTGATTTCTTAAAACAAGCCCAATCCCAAAAGCTCTTAATAAAAAATAAAAAACACTCAACATGACATCAAAGTAATTTAATAATCAAAATTAAATTCAACAGGGTCATCTATCCTTTTTGAGTTTGTTTATAGAAATTAAATGGTATGGGGTTTGTTTATAGAAATTAGGGTAAATTTCACTTTTCTACTCGTAAGTTTCCCAAGATTAACACATTGCTATACAGAGTTTTTTTCTTCTCACTTTCATTCCCAACAATTACTTTCACTATTATGCCCCATTTGGTTCATGGGAAAATAGGCTTGGGGATGGGAAATCAATTGCTTTCCCATGTTCGGTAAGTTCATACATGGGAAATAGTTGCCTTGCACATAGGAAAGTAGGAGGAGAAAGTGAAGCCCTCCTCTCAACTTGGGTTTTGTTTTCCCTTCTCATAGGAAAGTTTGGGAAAATGAACAAATATTAAATGCACATTTTTCATGACCATTTTGGCCCTATTAACAATTTTAAATTACAATATATCATTAAATGCATTTTTTTTAATTTGATTTAATATGGATTATTGAAAATTTATACAAATTTTATTTTCTATTCATACTCAAAACTAGAGGTATCAAACGGGTCGTGCCGGGCCGGCTCGTCCCATTTAAACTCGTGCTTTTAGTATTTTCGTGCTGGGTCAGGCCAGTCCATTTAATTTATCGGGCCGTGTTGTGCCGGCCCATTTAGTAAAATTATTGATCCTGGCCCGGCCCAAAGCCCATGTCCACATTGAAAATGGCCAGGCCGGGCTCGTGCCGTGCCTGTGCTTGTGCCATACTCGGGCCCAAGAACCAACCCATTTAATTTGAATTTTTTTCACTTGATTTTTTTTTCCACTAGATAATTCAAATTATAAACATTAAAAATATAATTATTGGTAGGAAATGATGAACTATTTGAAAACATTAATCAATCAAACATCCAAATAATATGAAAGGGCGGAGGGCAAAAAGTGTCCAACTCCACAAAGTCCACTTCAACTTTTCATCTTTAAACAACTTATTATTTTATATGAGAAGAAATGTCTTGCTTTGATTATAAGAGATGCGTATATGTCATATTTACTAATTAGATATCAAGTCCAATGTTGTTTAATTAATTCGTAGTTGATATGTTTAATTAATTAAGGACCCAAGTAATTTCCCTAAAATGAAAGACATCTATGCTTATGATTTTTTTAAATATAAAAAAAACCATATAAATAATGACATTATATGTCAAATTATTGCATTTTGACTTTTGAGAAAGAAAAAAATGTTAAGTGGACCAGGCTTGGGCCGTGCTTAAAGCGGGCTTGGGCTCATGTCGTGCTTAAAGCGGGCTCGGGTCATGGGCCGGCCCGGTCCATTGGACCTCATTTTTTAATCCTAGCCCTGCCCAAGTTTTCATGTCGTGCCGAGCACTGCCCATTAATATTCGTGCGCCTCATTTAAAAGGGTTGGGCTCGTGCCGTGCTGGGCCGGCCTGTCCCGTTTGACACCTCTAGTAAAAAAAACACATGAAAAAGGGAATAAAGTGATTGATATCTCCCGGTTACTTTCTCAACATTACCAAAAGTGTGCCACATAGGGTGATCTTATTTGCAACGCTTTTTCTACACATCACATCTCCATACATGAAACATTTCCGAAAAATTTTCCATTTCACTTTCATTAATTTTCAATCTTTTAATATTCCTTTTAATTGACACAATTTCCATTTCATGTTTCTAATGGTAAAATATGATCATGAAATGAATAATGGATATCTTCATCAGCATAAATTTTGATGATTCGCAAGAAGCGTAGGATTGCAATGCAAGTTACAATACTATTGATATTGTTACAACTTGAGCTCCTTGAATGATGTTTAATATTGCAATACTCAAAGATTTATTTCGTTTTTATTTTATTCTTACCACCACACACCGTCCTAATAGGTGCAGAAATATTCCTATATGGTCCCTTTTGGAGAAAGCAAAAAAAAAGTTATTGTTTCCAATCAATAATGCCTGCCTAGGAAGATTCATTACCAAAAATATATATATATATGCCTAGAAAGATCACATTTTTGCTACCATATCAATTAGTACATGTGGGATTTTTTTTGTCAGATAAAGAAGAATTTTGCTTGGGGTTGATTCTGTAAAAAAACAAAAAGCAGAGAGAGATAGAGAGAAATTTGTTTGGGGTTGACGATTGTGCTTTTGGTTTGTATCAGATTGCAAATTGTTCAAAAAATGGGTATAATATTCAAGTGGAGAAAGAGAAGAAGTTGACCAAGCGCAAAGGGTCATCAATTCTTCTTTTGTTCGGACTACCGGAGTAATTTTTCTCAAATACTTTTTCATTATAAGTTTTTTTAATTTTTTTTTTTTTTTTTTTTTTTTTTTTTTTTGTAAACTTTTATTATAAGTTTCTCAAATTATGAAATCTTTTATTTTAATAAATGTTTTATTGCATACAGGGTAACAATGCGTAGGATTTTGACGCATGAGATGATGCATGTATGATTATATCTTCAAGGTTCGAAATCAAGATTATGCTTCACTTAATTTGAAAATGATTAAGTTTTTCTTCAGCTATTTTTCCTTCGTAATAAAACATTTGTACATTACTACTAAAAGAAATTAATGAACATAGGTATTGGTGTCCACAAATATTTTATTTTTATTGGCACTTTTCGTGTCCACTATATTAATGGAATGCCCTTTAGTATATTAGGAACCAAAAGTGTCGTTGCAAACTTCTTTTGTGAACCAAAAGTGCCCTTTAAAATTTAAATTTAAGTGATATAGTGACTTTCACTTACCCAATTTCTCTCTCACACTATAACTTGTCAATGTCTTGTCATTTCATACCTCCACTAACCATTTTCAATGCCCTACTCAATTAGTTCATTCATTTAGAATCCAACAAAAAGAATCTCTCTCTCTCTCTCTCCCCAATCAGGCATTAGCCAATCCAAAACACGCATTGCATCCCGATGCATGAGACACAATCAAATAAGCTTAGCATATAAGGCACATAGGAGAGAATAGGTCAGAATGCCATGTGGTTAAATTCAATCAAATATCATATCTTCCCTCTTCAATCAAGAATTAGTTTATTCTCCACACCTCCAATCCATTAGGATTAGGCCTCGTCAAGCCCGGCCCAAATTTAATGGGTTTGGGCAGGGTCGGGCCGGGCTTCAAATAAGAGAGAGAAAATAACGGGTTAGGCCGAATTTTTTTGAAAAATTTAAAGCCCAAGCTTATCCCATGAGCTGGACTGGGTTAAGCCAAATGGGCCGTGCCTAAATGGGCTTACTTTATTTTGACCTTTTTTTTTTATATGGATTTTTTTTGTCAATTCTTTTTTTTTTTCTATGTTTTGGTGTGTTTCTATGTTTCCTTTTTTTTTTTTCATAGTTCTCTATTTACATTTGTCTATAAGTTTATGTCTCCATTTTTTTCTTTGTTAATAACTTCATAGTTCTTTTTTTTTTCTCCATAAATATAAAGATATAGTTATACAACCGCCATATTAATAAACTCATATTTTATCTTCATTTTTTTTAGTTCTTACAATGATAATAGATAATAATTTTCTCAATCTTTCATTTAACTTGGGTTTATTATATTATATATTTATTTATATGTATGTGAGCCCATGGGCCGAGCTTTTATGGGCGTGTCGGGCCGGGCTTTCTTGGGCTCAAATGGGCCGAGCCTATGGGTCGAGCCTATAGGCTGAGCTGGGCTTTAGACACCTAAGCCAAAGCCCAACCCACTCAACAATGGGCTAGGGTGGCCCATGGCCTATAACTGGTCGGGCCAGACTTTTTCTCGATGGGCTAGACGGCCCCCTATCGGCGCATAGGCTCGCAGGCTTAATGATGACCCCTAATTACGATGGTCCACCTTTTTCTTCTTCTTCTTCTTCTTTTCCTTCCTTATTTTCAAATACAGTGTAGTGGTAACTAATTATGTAATTGGTTTGGTGTAGGCAGACAATGTGGATTGAATCAATTGTTGCACCAATAGAAGGAGTAGTGGCTTTCCTCACATTGCTAGGAGTCCTTTATTGCATATGGAAGAAGAGAAGAGCTTCTTCTACATGCACCAACCTTGTCGATCACGCGATAATCAAGGTCATTACTGACTAGATTCTAGAGCAGCTTTGACTTGTTGTTAATATAAGTGACTCTCTTCTCTATGTGTCTCTCTTACTATGTACATAATTCCCTGGCTATAATAATATTTGAGCAATGACAAGTAGTTTAATTTATAGGGCTTGTGCAATAGAGGTCCCTATAATTCCTATTTCCTAGACATATTTTAATCATTCCATAAATATATGTGTAAAACTCAATTTCAAACTTAAACAACCAGCAGGATATAAGAGCTCATAGTATTCCTATGTTTTTACATTGTTGCCATCAGACTTCATATTTTATTTATAATTTATTCCAAACATTTCATTAACTATCATAATTGTAATTAAAACTCCCTATTAATAGCATATCAATAACCCCATTTCTTTTGG